GGCCAACTAACAACTTAACTCCGCCCAAAACAGAGGTTTTAAAAAGCTTAGCGCACTCCCAATCTCTGACACACAGAGAGAGTTTGAAATCAGTTAAAGTTGTCAGTTTCCAGAAGCTCAGCAGAGGCCCTGCCTGCCAGCCCTTCCCCCATGGGCTGGACAGGATGGTGGCCCTTCTGCATCTCCCGCTGGTTTAACATACAGCCACCGTTTAATATCGAATCTACACCTGAGTTTGATTTTATAGAAGTTAAATAAGCTAATTGTAATTCATGCGTCGTTTTAGTTCATTTTCTCTACAAAGTTGAAATCAAATTAAGAAGTCTTGCAGCTGCCTAAAAAGACCGGATCATGTTGTCACCAGGGAGTGACCCCTTTCTCTGACCACAGGACCAGTCGAGTTTTACAGGCAAACCGCCTGACATCCAGCTTGCATGAAGAGCCTACCTGGGAAACGACCCCCAGAGATGACCTTCAATCGCTGACCCCTCCTGGTACCCACATGGTGGAAACAAAAGGGTAAAAGTGAACATTTGTCCTGGTGACCAACAGGTGCTCAGACGTAATTTGATTCTTATCTTTGTATGAGATTTAATAAACTATACGATTTTTCTACCTAATTTAACTAAGATCTCTTAGTTAAATCCTCAGCTAAAGCAAAGCTCACCTCACCTCGTTCCAAGCCTCAAAATCCATCTTTTAGTGATTATTTTATTTTATTTTATTTTTTTGTTATTCACTCATTGCTCAAATATCTCTGTGTTCTTCTGGTTCAGAATGTCATCATTTCACACTCGCCATAGCTGTAAATACATTTAATCTGTAAATAAATGACCCGTGGAGAACTGGTCAATACGAGACAATGTCTAATTTTTGTGCCTTAATAAGGTTTTATTGGTTTGGATAAGAAAAGAACTCATCAGACAATTTTGGGTAGATTTATTGTGAGACTGATCACAGTAAAGTTACAGTTTTTTCTTCTCTTTCCTGTGTACAAATAACAAAGAAAAGGGAAGTGGTGCCTCGAGGTTAGATAATTTGTTTATTTAAATAATTCACAAATTATTCATTCTAGAATATACCCAAATTAACCCTACACAATATATAAAGAGTTGCAATAGTCCAGCCTAGACGTAATAAAAGCATGGATAAGAGT